AGGCTGAGGCAGGCTGAGGCTGAGGCAGGCTGAGGCTGAGGCTGAGGCAGGCTGAGGCTGAGGCTGAGGCTGATGCAGGCTGAGGCTGAGGCAGGCTGAGGCTGAGGAGGCTGAGGCTGAGGCTGAGGCTGAGGCTGAGGCTGAGGCTGAGGCTGAGGCTGAGGCTGAGGCTGAGGCTGAGGCTGAGGCTGAGGCTGAGGCTGAGGCTGAGGCTGAGGCTGAGGCTGAGGCTGAGGCTGAGGAGGCTGAGGCAGGCTGAGGCTGAGGCTGAGGCAGGCTGAGGCTGAGGCAGGCTGAAGGCTGAGGCTGGCAGGCTGAGGCTGAGGCCGAGGCTGAGGCAGACTGAGGCTGAGGCTGAAGCAGGCTGAGGCTGAGGCTGAGGCAGGCTGAGGCTGAGGCTGAGGCAGGCTGATGCTGAGGCAGGCTGAGGCTGAGGCTGAGGAGGCTGATGCAGGCTGAGGCTGAGGCAGGCTGAGGCTGAGGCCGAGGCTGAAGGCAGACTGAGGCTGAGGCTGAAGCAGGCTGAGGCTGAGGCTGAGGCAGGCTGAGGCTGAGGCAGGCTGAGGCTGAGGCTGAGGCAGGCTGAGGCTGAGGCTGTGACTGCGACTGCCGTTGCCACTGCGACTGTCATCGCGAATGCGACTACGACTGCGAGAACAGCAGAATTATTCTACAACTGGATTCTCATCTGAATATTAAGGGGAATGCTTCCAGATATGCTCCTACACATCGCTGTTAGGTTGCTTTGCCGGGATAATTTTATTTTTCGACGAAAATCCCCTTGTAGGGGGACACGCCCGACATAATACTAGTCGGGGGGGGGCGGGGAGCGCGCCTCGGAGGAGGAGGCGCGCGTTTTCCGAAGGCCGGGCCAGTGCCACGGAAGGCACGGTGCTCCCCCGCGCCCAGGGGAACCTCCCAGGCGGCCACCAGTTTCGCGGCCTGGGCATCTTGCGCCTGCTTGGCGGGTGGGGCTGGTTGACGGCAAAGGGGGGTCCCATGGGCGAGGGGAGAAGCATTTGTGCGTTCCGCCATTGGCGAGCGGGGTCACGACGATACGTAACCGCGCCAACTTTCAACTACCACGCAGCCATCACTCCCACGGTGCCTGCCGCAGCATTGCCACCTCTTCACTTTCTCCATCCTCCCTGACGTTTGATGTGGTTCAGCTCTCCTCCCTCCCTCCCGCCCCTGCGTCTGTCTTTTGTTCGTCCTACATAGCCAGTGAGAGTCGTCACCTGGCTGTTTAGTTTGATTCCCCCCCCCAGGGCCGAGCTCTGGGGGGGGAGGGCAACGCCTGAACGAGGTTTCCGCCATCAGGACTCAGGAATCAGGAGGACGGGGAGGGGGGGGGTGCGAGGTGGGAGGGGCGGAGGGTGGAGAAACATGGGAGGGAAGCGGCGGGGTGGAGCCCCCGCACCATGATCGGGCTTCCTCCTCCTCCTCCGCGGGCCGTTGCCTTGCCCCCCGTCTGCCCCATCTTACGCTCGCCTCCTCCTGCTCCCCCTCACCTCCGCCGCCGCCGCCGCCGCCGTCGCCGTCGTCCCCGCCGCCGCCGCCGCCGCCGCCGCCGCCGCCGCCGCCGCCGCCGCCGTCGTCGTCGTCGTCGTCGTCGTCGTCGTCGTCGTCGTCGTCGTCGTCGTCGTCGTCGTCGTCGTCGTCGTCGTCGTCGTTCGGGCTTGCGAGCCTGGGCTGGCTGGGACTAGCGCCCACGGCAGTGCGCGATAGCGGACTGGTGTCGGCGCTCGGGGTGACGGGTGGTGGAATGGCGAGCCTCCCCGGCGGATGCTGCTGGTGCGGCTGCGGCGCGGCGGGCTGGGCGCCGCCGGCGGTCATCGGCGCGGTGCTGCACCAATGGGTGGTCGGGGCCACTGCCACGGCGGCCGCTGAGGGCGTTCGGGACGGCGTGCAGGCAGGGCGGCGGCACGAGGTTCGGCGGGGCGGAAGCGGCGGCAGCGTGCGGCGGCAGCACTGTGGGCCGCCGGCAACTCACGATCACGGAGGAGAAGCATGGGACGGAGGAGGACGACGGCGAGCTCGCCCGGCGTGGACGTCCAGGGCGGCGCGCTGGACAAGCTGAACGGCACGCAGCACGAGGGCAAGGACGGCTTCGACGAGAAGGGCGAGGCGGGCGCTGGGCGCGCGGGAGGGGCGCCACGGCAGCCAGCAGCGGCGGCTGCAGCGCCGCCACACGCCCTGGCGCTGGGAGTCCGCCGAGGAGCTGGCCGCCCGCTCGGCGGAGGCCTGGGCGGCGGCGGAAACTGAACGTCGGATCCAGAAAGATCGCGAGGCCGAACACACTGCGGCGGCCTGCGTGGTGCAGAGGTGCACGCGGGACTGCGGGGCTGCAGGCGGCCGAGGGGGCCCCGAGGCCCGCACTGCCGAAAACGAGGGCGTTGAAGAAGCAGGAGGCCAGGAGGGCCAAAGCGGACCTGTTCAGGGACGACGAAGCGGCCCTGGCAGAGGGCACCCGCTTGGCCCGCTTGGCCAAGGGCGAGAGGGTCGTTGAGGCGGCCCGCCACCTTCAGGAGCTCGAGCGGGATGCGAGCGAGGCTGCTAAAGGCCTGCGCGAATCTGACCAGGAGCTGAAGGTGGCGCTGGTGGAGTTCTACTTCGGCTTCGGCCAGGAGGTGCAGGAGAGCAGCGGCGACGAGGATAACGGCGAGGACAGCGGCGAGATGCAGGGTATCATCGACGCTGCACAGCAGGAGGCTGGGAGGCAGCTGAGGAGCAAGGGGAGGCAGGGCGTCGTCAATTGGGCGCGGTCCCTGCTCGGGAGCAGAGTCAAGGAGGCAGCGGACGGGGGCGACGCAGAGGGCGACGTCGTCACAGACCTCGCCAGTGCCGCCGCGGCGAGGGCGAGCCACTTTCGGAGGCGGGGGGCTGCGGCGGAGCAGGACGGCAAGCCGGCGAAGCAGGGCTTCGGCAAGGAGGCCTGGCCTGGACTGCGGCGGTGGTACGGGCAAAGGGCGGGCCCGCGAGGCGGGGCGGCCCGCGCCGCGGGTCGAAGGCGCTGGCGGGAAGGACAGGGGGGGCGGAGCTCTTGAGGAGGCCCGGCAACGGGAGGTTCGGGGTCAGCCGTAGCGTGTGAAGCCCCCCCGCGTCGTGCGATGCCGCAGGCCCCCTCTCTCTCACCGAGGACTGCCGCGGGCGCTCCGAGCGGCGCGTGCGGGGATGCCGCGCGCGTCGCGCGGCCGCGGGGGAGCGTGCGTCGCCCCCCGTGGCGCCGACATAGAACCGTCATAGAACCGTCGGCGCCGTCGTCGTCGTCGTCACCGCCGCCGTTCGCACCTCCTCCGCCCGTGCTCTGCCCCCCCCCCCCAGCAGGAGGGGACGGTCCTCAAGGACAAGCTGCTGTCCTCCGAGCCTGGGGGGCCGGTCGGACGGGTCGCCTGCCAGTCGTGGCGTCGGTTCCGCGTATGCAGAACCCCGAACCGTCAAGGCCGGGGGGGGGGAGGTCAGGGGTAGCTCGTGATTCGTGCCTCGGGGCCTAATCCGAAGCTGCCCCGGACTGGAGTTGTCCTGCATATTCCGGGCGTCCGGCCACCTCAGGATCGTCGGGGTTGGGGGCGGTGCAAGTCTTCCTGGTTTTTGCGTCGGGGGCCCGACTCGTCGGGCGTCCAGAGTAACAGTCGGGCGTTTAAGGTTGTCTAGCATCGGGACCTCAAGCAGCCGCGCCTAGCCGACTCCCGTAGGTCAGAGGACGAAAAGGTACCGATACCGCTAGCCTTGCCTCGTTTTCGCCTTTTAGGGCCTTTTGTGGCGCCTTCGTCGCCACAGCTGGATTCGCCTCGAAATCTTAGTCAAGTCGCACCCAGGGGGAGGTCCGGGGAGTAGCGGTGGTATCTGTATTGCTCGGTCTCCCCAGGCGGGGATGGGGGGAGGCGGCAAGAGAAGGGGACGAGGCGGAGGGGTTTGAGGCAGGGGGGCGGGCGTCGCTGTCGCACGAATCGCGTTTTGGGTGCAAGGGGGTATTCCCAATATTCAGGTGGTGTTGTGTGTGTGTGTGTTGTAGTTACGATCGTGCTTGCATGCGTAGTTGCGTATGTATGTGTGTATGTTTCTGCGCATGCACAGGTATGTGCATGTGTATGTGTGCATGTATATTCATATGTACACACATGCGTATGATAGTGTATGTGCAGATGTCAGGCGTATGAATAAACAGATCGTTATACACGTGTATGCATGTCCCTATGCATGTGTATATGCAATCGGTTACGTGCAAATATATAAGCATATATACATATGTGTATATATATGTTTCGATGTGTACAGTTGTAGAATTATATGCGTATGTATATGTGTGTAAATGTATAGGTTACGCATACGTGCACATACATCTATATGACTGTGCAAACGTAATGTTGTTTGTCTATGTATGTACATGTGTGCATGTACATGTGTACGCAACTGTGTGTACATGTGTATGTATACGTATATGTGTATGTGCGCATATACTATATATATGTGTACATGCCTCGTTGATGAAGTATGCCTGCGTGCCGCGTGTAGGCATAGACATTCCTTGACTATCCGTAGCCATGTTGGCTCAAGTGCGATGCGAGCATAAAAGCTTGTCATGGTAGCGGAGCTGAGACCGATCCACGTTCGGGCAGGCTCACGCGCGGGCAGAGGCGCAGCAAGTCTGCCCAGCTACGACGCCAGCTCCGTGGCGTCGAACGGCGCGGAGGCGCTCTGGCCGGATCGGGCTCTGAGGGCGCTGGAAGTGCGGGTAGCCCCTCCTCCGCGCGCCTCGAGCCCGAGGCACAGTCAGAGCGCGTGGGACGTGCGGGTAGCTCCGCCTCCACGCAGCTCAAACCAGAGTGCGCGGGTAGCACCGTCATTCAGGAGCCCAAGAACGAGCTCGAGTCCGAGACCGAGCCCAAGACTAAGATTAGGAAGGTGTTCATCGATTGGAACGACCTTTAGGAAACATGGAGCAGCTACAGCAACAAAACCAACAGCTTACCGCACAACTACAACAGCAAGCAGCAACGATGCAGCAGATGCAGCAGCAGATGACTGAGATGCAGGCCCAGCTGAAGTCCACGACCGCGGCTTCGTCCAGGGACCCTCAGCCGACCCTCGCGGTGGACACCCGCGTGATCGGCAAGCCTAGGGAGTTCGACGGAGAGAAGGATTGGAAAGATTGGTCTATCGTCATGCGGTCCTATGCCGCATGCTGCCACGAGCAGCTTGGGACGTTGATGAGGACGGCGGAGCTCTCTGAGGACCGCGTGGACAACGTGCACCTTTCTCCAGCAGACCGTCAGTTCAGCACCCAGCTGTTCTACATGCTGGTGATGGTGTGCCGTGGCTCTGCCCTCACGCGGGTGGTCAACCAAGGCACCACTGAGGGCCTCTTGGCGTGGAGGGCGCTCTGCCAGCATCACGAGCCGTCAAGTGCGGCTCGCCATGCCAGCTTACGCTTGGACCTCTTATCCTTCAACTTCGATGGTGACACCACTGCCAGGTTGGAACAGTTTGAGCGCGACGTCCACCGGTACGAGTTGTCATCCAGCCTATTGCTCGACGACGCCATTAAGGTTGGCATCGTCCTCCGGCAGCTGCCAGACGGAGCATTGAAGCAGCACCTGGTCTTGAACATGGACCGGTTCGACACCTGGACGAAGATCCGCACTGAGATTGAGGCAGTGCGCCGGGCTCAGCAGGCTGCGAGCCATGGCGCTCGCCCGATGGACGTCGACACTCTGGCGCTGCTGAGGCAGGTCCCGGAGGACGAGCTGACGAGGCAGCTGGCCGCGATGGGGTTCCAGGTGAAGGGCAAGGGCAAGACAGGTGGAGGCAAGGGGAGAGACAAAGCTCCAACGACCAATTGCCCCATCTGCGACAAGCCAGGCCACTGGAAGAAGGACTGCTGGTACAACCCGGCCAACAAGGGGGCAGGGTCCGGCAAGGGAGCGCCACCCAAGGGCGGCAAGGGCAAGGACGCGAAGGACAAGTCCAAGGCGAACAACACCAAGAAGAAGTGTTGGAACTGCGGTGAGACGGGCCACCTTCGAGAAGAGTGCAAGAAACCAAAGAAGGTGCACTCGATCGAAGAGGTCGTGGACGACCAGGGCGGATCCCTAGGACACCTCTTCCTGCCGCTTTCGGCCGTGAACCTCGCGGGCGTCTCGTCCGAAAAGGGCCGCACGATGCGCGTTGGCATCGACTCCGGTGCTGCTGTGACGGCCGTGCCGGATTGTCACTGCAAAGGGTACCCACTGTACAAGAATACGCCCGGCACCGGCAGGTCCTACGAGAGCGCCGCCGGGGAGAAGATTTTGGATCGAGGTGAACGGCGTCTACTCTGTCGTGCGGACGGTCGTTTACGAGGACTGCGAGCGCGCGCGTGCAAGGTGAAGAAGCCCTTGCTGAGCGTGTACGACATGTGCAAGGCAGGACAGATGGTGGTCTTCGACTTTGACTCCAATGGCAACGACAGGAGCCATGCCATCCACAAGGCGACCGGCGAGAAGACCAACTTTCAGCTCAGGAACAGGGTGCGGGAGTTGGATCTGGAGGTCGTGCCGCACGGCCAGGCAGAGAAGATCGCCACCAAGATGTTGGACGACCAGAAGCAGCAGTCCAAGAAGGTGCAGGACGAGGCCGCGAAGTTGCAGGATTTGTGCCCTTTCGAGGGGCAGGTCCTGTGGCCGTAAGTCCAACTCCGACTCAGCCGCCCCGCGGGGCGGCAGGGCCCAGCGACGTGGAGGGCCCAAAGGAGGACAACTCGGAGAAGGACCAGTCGCTCGAGATGCACCCTGTCGAGGGCGACCCTGCAGTACCACAAGCTGCGTTTGGCCAGAGCCTTCCGGGGAACCCGAATGTTCCAGGTGCGGCAGATGAGCCTCACGACATGGACGCCGAACAGCCTACACTGCGACCTCGGCGAGCCCCGGCTGAACCTACGCAGGCGGAGCGCGACGCGCACGAGTGCGCGGGCCACATGCCGTACCGCTCCTGGTGCCGAGCGTGCGTGGCTGGACATGGGCGTGCTGACCAGCACCACCCTGTACCAGGCGATCCTCGTGGAGTACCTGTCGTGGCGTGCGGTTACGGCTACCTGGAGCGTCGTGAAGATTGTCCGCCAGGGGGGAGCCCCTCCCCGATCCTTGTCACCAAGGACGGATCTCGTCCTGGAGCTGTCACGGCGGACGTGCTCCCATGCAAAGGGACTGGCGACCCCGCCTGTGTGCCTGCGCTGCTTCGTGCGTATGTTGCTGCCGGCCACCACAAGTTCATCGCGAGGTCGGACGGTGAACCAGCGATCGTGGACCTTAAGAGCCGGGCGGTGGCGACAGCACGAGCACGCCACAGCATGGGCGTCATCCTCGAGGAGACTCCGGAGGGGGACTCGCAGGCGAACGGGCTGATCGAGAGCGCCGTCCGCGATGTGAAGGCGACGGCTCGCACGCTCCGATTCGCAGCTCAAGAGCTCCATGGGTCCAGCATCGGACCCAAGCATCCGATACTTCCATGGCTCGTTCGTTTCGCTGGAGACGTCATCACTCGAGGACAGCGGGGTGCAGATGGCATGGCGCCGTACCAGCGCCGCACCGGCCGCGTGTACAGGCGAGCACTCCCGACCTTCAGTGAGAAGGTCTTGTACCTGCCAACGGGGAAGCACGACAGTAGGATCCAGGGGCGATGAAACAGCGGACTGTTCGTGAACATCGTGGAGAGGAACAACGAGCTCTTCATCGCCACGCGCGACGGCGACAAGAGGGCGAAGGCTGTCCAGCGGTTCGCTGCTGCCGAGCGGGCCGACGCGGACCTCCTGGCGAACATACGTGGGACGCCCTGGCAGCCGATCCCCAGCGTCGGCTTGGACGTCGTCCCGACCGTCATCTACGCTGACCCCGTGGTGAGCGAGGACGCGTTGCCACCAGGGCCGGCCCCTGGGCAGCCTGCCCCATCTGGGCGGCAGGTTTACATACGTCGTCACGTGGAGTTGCAGCGGCATGGCTTCACTGAAGGCTGTGCCGGATGCGACACCGCGCGTGCGGGCACAGCCGCGCGCCCCCACAGCGCAGCCTGCCGCGACAGGATCGAGCAGGCCATGATGGCAGACGAGGCTGGACGCCCACGGATCACGGAGGCGTTTTTGAGACGTGGCGACGCCGTGGCTGCAGGTAGCCCTGCGCCCGGCGACGCTGTGGCCGCGGGTAGCCCCGCGCCTGGCGGCACTGTGGCCGCGGGCAGCTCCGCGCCTAGTGCCCCGGCGGTCGCCGGCATCCCAGCGCCCGTGGACCCGGCGGCTGCGGTTAGCCCCGCGCCGGAGGTCCCTATGGAGGCCTCCGCTCCATCACCTGCGGTCCTTGCAGCGGGTAGCACCGCGCGAGGGCGCCTGGAGGCTGCGGGAAGCTCCGCGCCTTCGGGCATGGCCGTGCGCAGGCCTGCGGAAGTGCCGCTGGAGGGCGCATCGCCGCCTAGGAGGGCGCGCCGGGGGGCTGACGTGGAGATCGGCGGCGTGGATTTGACCAGCGAGTCGACGCACTTTCTTGGCGAGCTCTCTTCGGTGTTGTCTTCGTTTGGCGTGTGCCGGACAGGCGTTGCAGGGGTTTTCGGGCCAGGGCGGTTCACGAGCCGCTCGTCTGCTTTCGACCCCCCGCCTGGCACTGCCATGGACGTCCGTTCTGGATACGATTTCACACAGGCTGCCGAGCGAGAGCGGGCCCGCGAGACCAGACAGAGGGAGAGACCGGCGCTGCTCGTCGGTTCGCCTCCCAACGTGGCCCTTTCTGCCATGCAAGGCCTCGCTCCGGACAGCCAGGAGTGGAAGCAGAAACTTGCAGAGGGCCTCACTCATCTTGAATTCGTTTGTGATCTGTACAAAGACCAAATGAAGGACGGCTTGTTCTTCTTGCACGAGCATTCGGCCTCTTCTGCAAGTTGGGACCTGTGGATGGTCCAGGAGATCGCTGGCATGGAGGGCGTGCGCACCGTCCTTGGAGATCAGTGCCCCTACGGCCTTTGGTCTGTTGATCTGTACGGGCCGGCTTTCGTCCAGAAGGCTACCAGATGGTTTACCAATTCTGCGGCCATCGCACGTGCCGTCGGCAGCCGGTGCACTAACCGAGGCTGCCCGGACAACGCGCGGAAGCATAGGCACTGCCAGCTGATCGAAAACCCCCGGACTTGGAGGGGTAGAGAACGCTACCCCCTCAAGCTCGCGACTGCGATCCTCGAGGGATTGTGGGGGGAGCTGAACGCTAAGCACGTGTTGTTCTCATTTGAGGCGGGCGCTCACGTTGATGAGCCCGACGCCTGGGACATCCACCCGGAGTGGTACGGCCACGTCGTCGACGCCACGACTGGCGTGAAGTTGGACGCAGTGCTTGTGTCCAAGGCCCGCGGTGAGGAGATGGACTTCCTCAGCGGCCTGGGCGCGTACTCCTACGACACCGTCGACAGGTGCATCGAGGAGACAGGGCGGCGCCCCATGCCCACCGGATGGGTTGACGTCAACAAGGGGCAGCCCGACGCACCTCAAGTGCGAAGCCGGCTCGTGGTGAAAGAAACGAGGTATCACACGAACCTCGACACGAGCGGCGGCAGCAGCTTCAGCCAGACACCGCCCTACGAGGCGTTACGGATGCTGTGTAGCTGCCAGATGACACCCGCCAGCCAGATGCAGGTAGACTACGTCATCATCTTCATTGACATCACCCGTGCACACCCTCATTGTAAGATGCGCCGTAAAGTCTGGGTGGTGTTGCCGCCAGAGGACCCCGAGGCGGCGGAACCTGGCGCGCGTGGACTCCTTGAGCGGAGCCTGTGCGGCTTGCGCGACGCCGGACAGTCGTTCGAGCTGCTCGTCCGCGAGACCATGGAGGCCCTCTGTTTCAAGGCAGGCCTGTGGTGCGGCGTAGTGTTCTTCCACGAGCAGCGGCAGATCCAGGCGTACGTGTGCGGTGATAACTTCGTAGCGCGTGGATCTCGTGCAGAGGTCCGCTGGTTCCACGAATCACTATCTGTTCACATGTGGGCCAAGGTGGAGGGCATTCTCGGCCCGGATCCATCGCGAGGCGACTCCCTGGAGGTCGTCTGCCTCAACCGGGTGTTCCGGTATGTCAGCGCAGCCGGAAACGAACCCGAGCGCATCGAGATCGAAGCGGATGCACGGCATGTGGAGATCTTGCTCCACCAGGCCGGCCTCTCTGCGGGGCGCAGCGTGCCCCTCAACACGCCGGGCGCTGCGGCGAAGGACGTGGACGTCGGGGGGCCGCTGGGCGCCGAGGCGGCGACGCTGTTCAGAAGCATGACGACGAGGGCGCAGTATCTCAGCGAGGACCGCCCTGACATTCGCTTTGCTTGCAAGGAGATTGCCCGCTTCATGGCGGAACCCTGCGAGCTGGGGGCGAAGATGCTCAAGAGGCTGTGTCGCTATCTTCTGGGAGTCCCACGACTCGTCCAGAGGATGGAGCGGCAGGAGGTGCCGACGTTCATGGACGGCATCTCGGATGCAGACTTCGCTGGCTGTTCAAGGACACGGAAGAGCACGAGCTGCCACGCGATCAAGATGGGCAGCCATACGATACGCTTTGCGAGTGCCACGCAGAGCGTGATCGCACAGAGCAGCGGGGAGAGCGAGTACTATTCCCTCGTGCGGTGCGCTTCGGCACTCATCGGCATGGGCAACTTGATGCGCGACCTCGGGCGCGAGTTGCCCCTGCGCCTCCTGGGAGACGCAACCGCCGCGAGCGGCATGGCTTGCAGGCGGGGCGCTGGGCGAGTACGTCACATCGAAGTTGGGACGTTGTGGCTCCAGCAGATCATCACTGGGGAGAAGATGGTCCTGGGCCGGAGGCCCGGCAAGGAGAACGAGGCAGACCTCGGCACCAAGCACCTGGCTCTACGCGAGCTGTGGGAGTGCTTGGCCCGGCTTGGCTTCGTCGCCATGGGCGGCCGTTCCGAGAAGTCCCTGCGTGCCTCCATCGCGCACTTGGGCCTCAAGTTGGAGGCGGGGGCGAGCGGCGCCGCGGCTGCGGCGGCGACGGCAGCAGCAGGCGCGCGCAGGTTGCGCGGGTAGCTCCGCCTTCGCTGCGTGCGGCCCGGCGGGCGCAGGCAGACGGGAAGCCCTGAGTGCGCTGCTGGTGCGCCCTCACGGCTTGGAGGGCTGATGAAGTATGCCTGCGTGCCGCGTGTATGCATAGATATTCTTTGACTATCCGTAGCCATTTGGGCTCAAGTGCGATGCGAGCATAAAAGCTTGTCGCTCGTCCTGCTCCTATCGTTGTACTAGAATGGGGGGCGATACCCAGCAAACAACAAATCTGGCCCTTGGATCCGTGGCCTTGGGGGCGCGAAGCCCCCAAAGCTTTCCTGAACTCCTGGTTCAGGCAACGGACCCATATCGGTCAGGAGGGCGGCCGAACGGCCCCCTGAAGGCCCCAAGAGGCCCGAGGCACCCAGCTGACGCCCGACGACGACCCGAAGAATACCCGAATGATGCTTTTGGATTTCAGAAATACATTGTTTTCCATTTGCGTTTGCATGCTTTGGGGGATGCAATGTTTATGTTCGGCCCTGGGGGCGCCCAAGACCAGGAGACCCCAAACGATCCGCCAAGGTTTCCAGGCTGCCCAGGAAGCCCCCAAGATGGCGCAACAGACTTCCAAGATGACCCGAAGAGAGCTCCATGACGGCCCAGTATTTTGCGACGTTCAAGAACAGGTGAGATCGGTTTGTGTAGACGCCTGCTGTCCCTAACCATGCGTTCTCGGCAGGACGGGCGGGCGGGTTTTCACGCAGGCCAGGCGCTACTGAGACGGGCAGTGGCGCGCGCCAGAAAAATCAACAGGTGCTCGCGCGTTAAACCAGTGGCTGACGCCGTTTCCGAGATCTACGAGTCGACCTCTTTCTTCAGGAAGGGTCTCAGCAGGCCCTGGTGCATTCTGATTGGTAGCAAGAGCCTTGGTTGTGACCACGGCGGTTGAAGAGCACGGCGTCATAGACAGAAAAACGGACCGGAGTTTGAGACAGCCTGCGACTTGAACGGGCCATCGTGGGACGTAGAACCTGACAAACTGCTGGCCTACAGGTTGGACGTTTGACTCTTCAGCAAGAGCTTCAAGCTCCAGGACAGGCATGTGCCGGGCCCGCAGAATGCGCGCGCCCTTGGAACCAGGACATGACGATTTGCGCAGAACTGCCCCGACATAAATTATATCGACGATGTGAATGACGGACAGCTGACGAGCTGGATGCGAGTGTTTTCGCTCCTTCTCGTGAAGCTCGATATCTCGAGAGTGAATGAGATATGCAAATCGGCAGAGAAATTGCTCGACAAGCTGCAGCGCGGGGCCGGAGAGACGTTCCACGACTGGACGGCGCGGGGGGCGAGAGGGACCTCCTGCCGCAGCTCCAGGCCGTCGGCTCCTCGGTGCAGGAGGGTCGCCCCGCCTCTAAGGACTTTGTGGCATTTGCGCTGGTCGCGGCTGGCGCCTGCGGCTCTCGGCGAGGTGGCGGCGATGGCGGGCGGAGAGTGCGACCTCGACAAGACGCGCCAGGCGCTGTGCGCACGTTGCCCCGCTGGGGCAATCAGGGAGCTTGGCGGTGCCAAGGGGCGTCGGAGCGACCAGCGCGCCGGCCTCTACGACGAGACGGAGGAGCCCGACGGCGACGGCATCCACGAGGCCCACGAGCGCTCGGACATCGCAGAGATCGCGGACCAGCTGACGAGCCTGACGGACAAGGGCGACTCGATATTGCTTGGCGAGGCGGGGGGCTCCGGGGGCTCCGAGGAGAGCAGCCGCCCGATGCCGGAACTTCGCCCCCCACCATGGGTCCGCCGGCTCGGCGTTGGCCACCTCCGCCCGCGCACGCTGCGCCGAGGCGGCCGCGGGCGAGGGCGACGCTGGCCCTGTCAAGCGTCCCGCTGGGTGGGGCGCCATCGGGGCCGCCCCGGCGCTCGGGCCTGGTCAGCCGCCCAGCGCTCCCCACGTGTGGGACATAGGCCCGTCGCCGCGCGCCCCGCTGGCGAAGGCGGCCAGGGCGGCCATGCTTCCGCCACCCGCAGGAGCCGTCGGCCCTTCGGGGACAGGAGGTGACCGCGGGGGGGGGGGGGCAGCGGCGGCATGCCAGCGGGCGCGGCCACAGACTTAGGCGGGGGCACCGCGGCCTCAGTGCCCGGCGCGGCGGCCGTCAGCTCCATAGCCGCCAGCTGCTCCCGCAGCCGCTCCAGCTCAGCACGGTCGTCGTCGAGCTCGTCGGACGCGCCTGCCTCGGAAAAGCCGGCGCGCCACCAGCGGGCCAGGCTGGTCAGTGCCATCCGCCCGACCGCCTGTCCCGCTCGGGTGACTGCCTCGCGGCCCCTCGCGGCGTGCCAGGCGGAGCGCGCCACCTGGCCCGCGCAGCTCGGGCCCGCGAGCAGCCGGCCCAGGGCCCGCCAGCGGCTGGGGCGCTCAGCGCGCTCGGTGGCTGGCGCAGCCGCCGGTGGAGGAGCCATCTACAGTCGCGAAGGCGGGCCGCGGGCGGCCCCGAACACCAGTCAGCGCACGGTTTCAGGGAAACTGAGCCACAAGATTTTGCCCCAGAAGCAATTATGGAACGGAGGAGGAAGCTCACGCACACTCACACCTTAGCCTCCGCTCTCGAGTTTGTTCATCTATAGGTGCATGTGCATGTTTATGCATGCATGTACATATATGCGTATGATATATGCGTGTGTGTATGCATGTGTATAGCGGAAGTAGAGATATAGCTATGGGTGCGCATGTGACGCCATTCCGCTGGACCCCACCGGAGCCAACGAAAGTGGTGACAGGTGCTCGGTTGGCGCCACCCCCCAAAAATCCGTGAGGTCGATTCTGGGCGCGGCCGCAACGCGCCCCAGGAGCCCGCGAACGCGGCGACAGCTGCGCAGGTGGCTGCACCCACAGTGAGCCGCCAGGCTTTGTTTAGGCGCACGTAAACGCAACACCGCTGGGCCGCCCCCCCTCTCAGGAGCAGGCGAGAGCGGCGACGGGTGCGCCGCCCATGGAGCGAGCCGCAGGGTTCATTCTAGTTGCGCGCATGGCGCCACCCCTCTCGACGCCCAGGAGCCCACGAAAGTGGCGACGGGTGGCAGCTCCCCCGAGGAGCCGCGCGGTCTAGTCTGGGGGCGCGTGTGGCGCCTTCAGCTGAGCCTCCCTGGAGTTCATGCGACGTCGATTGCGCAGATTGCAGCACCCCCAGGGAACAGCGAGGTCTTGTCTGCCATTCCGCTGGACCCCACAAGAGCCCATGAAAGAGGCGACCTCTGCGCAAGCGGCAGCACCCCCAGGGGGCCGCGGGGTCTAGTCTGGAGCCTGGGTGCGCGTATGGCGCCGCCCCGTTGGACCTCCCCATGAACGCGGTGTCACGGACGCTGGGGGGCAGGGAAATCTCAATTTGAGGGGGGTGAACACGCAAATGCGGGATGCAATGGACTTTTGGGTGGGCGTCCTAGATTGGGGGTTGAATGTTGTAGCAGCAAACCAGGTTGTGGAGGTCATAAGCATGGGGGGGGGGGGGGGGCGCGGGGGGGGGCGTGTTTGGCTTATCAAAAAGGCATTATACACAAACTTGTAAAACGTAACACAACAGTTATAGATGGCGCGCACCACGAACTCACATAACCTCCACACAGCACGAATCATGTGGCCGCGTGAACACGCAACCGCCGCACGCAGCGCATCACACAACACACGGTGAAACACACGCGCACACACACACACACGCACACACACACGCAATGCTCAGCATCGCTGTCCCATGATGAGACATTGTGCTGTTTCCAAATCGTCTCCCGTTTGAACTGTGAACGCACCTGCTCAAATACCAGCGCACCCCAGGCCCCCCTCCCCACATGGCAAAACACACCATAGAAGTTGCGAGACATATGCACGCAAACACACGGGGCATCTCTGTCCCCTTTGGGGAAGCAGGTTGCGTTTGTCTGGGTATGGCCATCTCGTTCTAGACATAAGGACGCACTTGCACCTTTCAAAAATTAGCCGGACGAAAGACCCAACCATTTGCAGCTGCGAGTGTCGCGCAGGATATGAGACGAAGGAGGGGGGGGACACGCAGACTAGCTCCCTCTTCTCATAGGCACCGCGCCACTGCACGCACGAGGCACAGGGCAGCGCGGGCAGGAGGTGGCTGGCGGAGGAGGAGGGCCCAGTGGGGCGAGCCACCACATCAGCATCAGCGCATCTTGAGACCTGTTACTGGGCACGCAAGAAGAGGTTACGGAGACACCGCGCAGATATCATGGGCGAGTCAGCAGCGGCAGAAACGAGACCGGGGGGCGCGCGGTCAAGAAGCGAAAGGAAGCAAGAGGGGCGAAGAACGCGGGGTGACATTTTTGCCTCCGGGCAGATAGCGAGCCACGCTCCTGCCTTCGCTGGAGATCCCTATGGGGCCACGAAACTGACCCTCGCTGTCTGCATTCTCCTGGAGGGGGGGGGAGCGCATGCAACCTGCGCCGCGGGGGGGGGCGCATGCAACCTGCGCCGCTGGGGCCTTCGGTGGAGCTCCCTATGGGGCCACGAAGCGCTGTCCTGGGCGGGGGGGGCGCATGCAACCTGCGCCGGTGGGATCTTCGGGGGAGATCCCTGTGGGGCCACGAAACGCTGTCCTGGGTGTGGGGGGACGCATGGAACTTGTGCCACTGGGACCTTCGGTGGAGCTCCCAATGGGGCCACGAAGCGCTGTCCTGGGTGGGGAGCGCATGCAACCTGCGCCGCTGGGACCTTCGGTGGAGCTCCCTATGGGGCCACGCAGCGCTGTCTTGGGTTAGGGGAACGAATGCAGCCTGCGCCACTGGGGCCTTCGGTGGAGCTCCCTATGGGGCCACGAAGCGCTGTCCTGGGTGGGGGGTCGCATGCAACCTGCGCCACTGGGACCGTCGGTGGAGCTCCCTATGGGGCCACGAAGCGCTGTCCTGGGTGGGGGGGGGGGGCGCATGCAACCTGCGCCACTGGGACCTTTGGTGGAGCTCCCTATGGGGCCACGAAACGCTGTCCTGGGTGCGGGGGTGACGCATGCAACCTGGGCCATTGAGACTTAAGGTGGAGCTCCCTGCGGGGCCACGAAGCGCTGTCCTGGGCGGGGGTGACGCATGCAACCTGCGCCACTGGGACCTTCGGTGGAGCTCCCAATGGGGCCACGAAGCGCTGTCCTGGGTGGGGGCAGCGCATGCAAATTGCGCCACTGGGACCTTCGGCGGGGCTCCCTATGGGGCCATGCAACGCTGTCCTGGGTGGGTGGGGGGGGGGGGGGGGGGGGCGCATGCGACCTGCGCCACTGGGACCTTCGGTGGAGCTCCCTATGGGGCCACGAAGCGCTGTCCTGGGTGGGAGGGGCGCATGCAACCTGCGCCACTGGGACCTTCGGTGGAGCTCCCTGTGGGGCCACGAAACGCTGTCCTGGATGAGGGGGGGGGGGGGGGGGGCGCATGCAGCCTGGGCCACTGGGACCTTCGGCGGAGCTCCCTGCGGGGCCACGCAACGCTGTGCTGGGTGGGGGACGCATGCAACCTGGGCCACTGGGGTCTTCGGTGGAGCTCCCTATGGGGCCACGAAGCGCTGTCCTGGGTGGGGGGGTCGCATGCAACCTGCGCCACTGGGACCGTCGGTGGAGCTCCCTATAGGGCCACGAAGCGCTGTCCTGGGTGGGGTGGGGGGGGGGGCGCATGCAACCTGCGCCATTGGGACCTTCGGTGGAGCTCCCTGCGGGGCCACGAAGCGCTGTCCTGGGTTAGGGGGACGCATGCAACCTGCGCCAGTGGGACCTTCGTGATGGCATGGAGGGGGGGGGGGGCAAAGGGGCAGCGGGAGGAGAAGGAGACGCGGGGCACCGTCTCTTCACAACGAGGATCCCACACCACAGGATGGTTGTGAATAGCCACCCAAGCGCCCCAACAATCACATAGAAACTTTGTATTGTTTAGACAGCCGCAAGCAACAACACACAGCCCCGTTGCCCCAATTAAACAAACACGGTGCGTTTGCGTGGCCCTCCCATCTCTGAATTGTAGATGCATTTGGAACAGCCAAGCACACCAACTAATACACCCCCCCCAGAGACAAACGTCTAGAACTTGTTTTCTCGATCGCAGGCAGTGATAGTAGACACCGCGGTGGTTGCTGTATGATGCGTCCAAGTAGACATACATTGGGTGCAACGAATCGGTGCAACATATTTAGGTGGAAACAGCTATACATATACGTATACATATACATATACATATACACATACGCACATATATATATATATACGTATCTATATACACATATATATATATATATATACAGACACGGCGTGTCAACAATATATCTATCCTATATGCATAACTGATCTATTTTGGGAATTGCTGTGGATGTGCCTCTCGGGTTGGGGCCGTTGTAGGGCCTCTTGTGGCGTCTGGAGGGCCTGTCGAGCGTCTCTTCGGGCCTCTTGGGGGCCTCTTCGCGCCTCCTTTGGGACTCCCGCGGCCTCTCGGGATGGAAGGCTCGGATTGTCCGCTCCCCCTCGTGGGAGCTTCGTGGGGCTGGTTTGGGGCCCCGTTGAGTTGTCCTAGGCGCCCCTGGGGCCGCCTTGGATCCCTCTTGCGCCGTCGGGGAGACCCTCGTCGGGCCCTCTTGGGTAGTCTTTGGGCGATCTTGGGGGCCTCTTGTGCCTTCGTGGAGCGTTGGAAGCTCGAACAGTCGAGGGCCTAAAAAGCATTTCGAAAACCTAGGGAACACAATGGTCTTGGCCTCTCGGAACCTCTTCGGACGGCTCTTGGAGGCCTCTTGGGACGTCTTAGGCGCATTTTCGGCCGATTGGACACCAGCTTGGGCGTCGTTGACCGATCGTGCGACGATCCGGGGCCCTCTTGTACCGTTTTGCCAGCTGCGCAATCCCGGGAATCCCCTGCAATCCTTGGGAATCCTTGACAATCCTTGGGACTCCCCGGCAATCCTCGGGAATCCTGAGAAATTCTTGTGAAACTCGTGGTGGAGGTTTTTGTTGCAACTCTTTATTTCTCAGGGCGGCATGCATGAGCCTTGGAGCACTCCACTACGTGCTGAAGGCACGGTTGCGGATATAGTAGCAAGCGTGGAATCCAAACAGTGTTTTCTGCAACCTATGCGATG